AAAAAGTGATAAAAGCGGGAGGTTGGGCGGAATGAGTACTGTACATTAATATTTAACAAATCATGTGAAATTTTATGTGCAGAGAAAACACATATTTATGCTTTGGTTGACGGAACTTCTCAAAGTAAAAAAAAAAGAGGACCTGCGAAACTTTATACAATTGTCAGACACGCAGTGAATAGCACCGGTATGTTTTTGTAATACATGTAGTTCCAGTGCCTTTGCTTTCTGAGAAAAAAATCTGGCTCTGCACCTGAAGAAAAGAAAAAAAAACAAAAAAACATTTAGTCCAAAGTAAGCAGAGGTTGTAGCATATGTGCTCCCATTGGCTGTAAGATTTAATTAAAAAAGATATTTGAGTCTTTTTAGTACGAAAAAATATTACTTAATAAATTTATACCAGCCAGAAAGAAATTGCAGTTCACACTGTACTATTTTAAACATGTTCTACCACAGAGTCTGGGATGAACTAATTCAATAGTTTCCACTCTACAAAGTTGTCAAATTAATATTCACAGGATTCTGCAAAAATAAAATATTAAGAATGTGCAAAAAGCCAGAGTACTTGTGCCGAAAATTTCACTTGAGCTGAACCAAATGGATGCCAAGCTATCAAAAGTAATAAAAACAAGCAGCCTATCGGCTGAGATAGCTCCGCAGTTAGAAATGCACATTTCAATTAAAGAACTGAAGACATCATCAGAAAATGAACAATATGTATAGTATTCAAAGCAGTCGGACTCGCAGTTTTTAACAAGAAGTCGAAAATATCACTTTCTACCAAAAATGACCAAAATATTCACCAAAATTAGAGAATTGAGGATATCATCACAAAATGAACAAATCTGAGAAAGGTCCACATGTAGTACCTATATATGTAATATCAAAGCAATTGGACTTGCGGTTTTTAACAAGAAGTCGAAAATATCACTTTTTACCAAAAATTACAAAAATATTCACCAAAATTAGAGCATTGAAGATATCATCACAAAATGAACAAATCTAAGAAAGGTCCACATGTAGTACCTATATATGTAATATCAAAGCAATTGACCTTGCGGTTTTCAACAAGAAGTCGAAAATATCACTTTTTACCAAAAATTACAAAAATATTCACCAAAATTAGAGAATTGAGGATATCATCACAAAATGAACAAATCTAAGAAAGGTCCACATGTAGTACCTATATATGTAATATCAAAGCAACTGCACTTGCGGTTTTTAACAAGAAGTTGAAAATATCACTTTTTACCAAAAATGACAAAAATATTCACCAAAATTAGAGAATTGAAGATATCAACATGAAATGAACAAACCTAAGAGAGGTCTACCCAAGGTACATATACACCAAGTATCAAAGCATTCAGGCTTGTAGTTTTCAAGAAGAAGTCGAAAAAGTAAAACATTGACACGGACGACGACGACGGACAATCACTCATATGATAAGCTCCGCTCGACAAAGTCGACAGTGGAGCTAAAAAACTATTGAGAAAAATACAAAAAAATACATTTAATATAAAAGCAGATAGAAGTGCATAACAAACTAATCAGCAAAGGTA